GTATTGGTACTGAATGATTTGCATATTGCCATAGAAAATTTTTCGGTTAATTTCTCTTTTCAGCTAATTTGCAATATAATGTCAAATCATGGTATTTCATGAATATGACTCATCTCGATTTGATAGTTAAAGATGTGTTTGCATATTTGTATCAGAAGTAAAACAAAATGAAATCTCGTGAAAATGATTTAAAAAATGAGCTGAAAAGTCGAAATGAAGTAGAAATTTGTGCTAGTAATTCCCTCGTATTGAAACTTTGCGACCACAGCTTAAAATAGCAATAAATGAAATTAAATCGTTGTAAGTCAGAGTTTGGAAGTTAATAATTGATTTTTTGGCCTTGTTCAGACCATTGATTTTGGAAAATTTAAAGTGAGACACTGCTTAATAAAAATTGAAATAACTCTGAAGAGCACTTTGAGAAAAAGCAACTCTCTAGAATTGTGTAGAAAGAATAGAAATGATCGCCATCGAAGCAAGGGAATAGGAAAAAAACGATTTGATGAGGTCATCCAAGGTCATGAATGAATCGCCTGTTTACAATGGATGCCCTTGCATAACTTATTAACTCATTTCCTCTATGAAGTCTTCCGATTTATGGTATTTTGTTCCCAAACTATGTCCACCACGTCATTTTGTTTCAGCATCGTTCTCCCTCCCATAATTATGCTTAATCATTTGTCACCAACTTCGTCGCTTCTTACTACCAGTACATCTATCTCAATTTTCATTATATGAACAGGGAACGTGAAAATAAATTGTGGTTGCACGTACTAATTTATTCAAAGAATCCTGATTCACAAATAGTTTTTGCAAGTTTCAAAGTTGAAAGCAAAATTTCTAAAGAGGAAAATTTGCAACATGAGAATCGATGTTTCTCATTTCTCTTCATCCATCTATCAAAATTTGGACAGTTTGTCCCACAGGATTTGCAAAATCAGGTGGTCTTTTTACAAGTCCTTTTCGGACGCGTTCATGATAATCACGAATATTGTCATCAATACCATTCAGGTTACAGTTGTGCTCGGTACAAGCACATAATCGTGTAGCATAACGATTCGTCGTACGCTCAATGCACGATCCTTCCTGAAACTATTCTTGACTTTTCCAACTTTTTTTCCGCTTCAGTTCCACGGTAGAAAGAACTAACTTACTTCGCATATGTAATTGACAGTAATTGGTAGCATACTGCCAAGTGTGGGATGTGTTCCAACTATGGATCGATATTCGTCTTCACAACCACCGGTTTCCACAGTTTCTCCAGTTTGCTTGTCTAGGGAAAAGATAACATTTCAAGGTGAAAGGCAAGAATACTTTGACATATCAGTTCTTCGCATATTATCAAAACTGTCCAATCATTTGGCATCAGTCAATCTATTCGTTCCTAACGCTATTGTGCTATTCTCACGAGGGTGACGTGTAGGTCTTACATAATTTATTTTTTTAAAAGAAAATTAATTTTAAATACAAAAAATTAATGGAAGTGTAAACATCTACAGATGAAACAAAAGGTGTCTGTGATTGAAATATGTTGATAAGGCGACCTTTTAGTCTTATTCCCATTAAATGTATTTTGAGAGTGATTACTCTTAAATATATGTGGTCGCGATTATTAGTACAATCATCATTACTATTTCATTAATTTTGTCGTATCCTTAATCAATAAAAATT